CCGCAGCCACCACCCCCGCCTTTACTCCCAGTCTCCCTCCCTTACTTCGCGGACATCAAGTGCGTCACTACAGAGACCATCTCCGAGCATCACGGGAAGTGTAGTCCACGCAGGTGGGAGGAAGGGCAACCGAGGCCGTCCTCGCCCTGCTCCAAAACCACGCCCCTAGCAACCGTTGCTAGGAAAGGAAAGCTCCCTTTTCCTGCCTTAGCTCAGCTGCTGCCCAGGAGTTATGTGTACCTGCTACTTACCAGGAGTGCTGTGATCATGTGAACTGTTGGGGGAAAATAATTCTGCATAGAGAAATTGCCTCATACACAATATGCACACAGTTAAAATATGGTAAGCCTCCAAGCGGAAGCATTCTTTTTAATTACAGCACGCTTTCCACATCCTGCAATCTCAAACCACTTTGTAGAGTGATTTAATCTAGGTTTCCTCAGCATTACATTTTGAAGATCAGAAGCAATTATTGATTTCCAATAAGGTCATAGAAGTTCAACAGGAACAAGAATCTCATTAAGCAGTGAGAATGTTTGAACATGTGTTTCTTGAAGATCCAGGGCCATAAAGCTAACATCTAGTTAAACACAATTATTAGATGAAATCCTGTTATCATGCCAAATCTACATTAGGAAATATCTATTACAAACTACATATGAATTTATCAGGCGAACCTCTAAATAACCTCTTATAATGTAATTGAATTGGGAGTTTAAAATAGAAAATATTGCCATTACTGAAAGAATTAGGTTAGAAATATGTTTACCCCAGATTTAGGAAGAGGATACATTTGAATCCTTGTTCATAGCTCCCTTAGTCTTGGGAAGGGCAGTCTCAGTAAAATACCTGTATAAAAACGCCAGTGGATTTAGAGTCTGAGAGCCACCTCTCCAGCCAACAGCGATGTGACCTCATGTATAAAACAGTCTTCCTGCCTTCCAAGATTAAAGTAGGGGCACTTGTGAGGATCCATTCATCGTGCAAGAGAAATAAATCACTTTGTAAATAACAATGTGTCATTTGATGTGAAATGTTACTACTCATTCTTTCATTCAGCAAACAAATGTGCCAAGCATTTGCTAGGCACTAGGAGCTTAAAAATGAATGATACAGTCACTGGCCTCAGAGCACTCATTGTCTGGGAGCCTGTGTCATTCCCCACAGCAGTCTTTCTGGTCAGGTTTGCCTCATGCAATGAAAACTCACAGGACGTTTAGAGTACCTGCCTCCTGACTGGCCTGGCTGTAGTAATGCCAAGCACTTCTGGGCGCCTACATCACCCTGAGGAAGACATCAAATTACCAGACTCCAAAGAGCAGAAGAAATGAGGCCCAGTCTCGCTGTGATTAGGCCTCAGTATGTGTCTAGTTATTTCTGAGTCTGTAGTGACATGATTTTCCAGCCTTAGTTTCTCACTCCAGCAAAACCCCCTGCTCTCCAGCAGTCTTCTAGGAAATTAGGGCTATTGAAAATGCTTCGAGTGATGGATTCAAAAGGAATACGGGAACACTTTTTTTTTCAGCAATAGGAATGGAACCTAGGGGGCCTCTACCCCTGAACTACATCCTCAGTCATTTTTATTTTGACACACAGTCTCACGAAGTTGTCCAGGCTAGCCTTGAATTTGTGATCTTCCTGCCTCAGCCTCCTGAGTAGCTAGGATGCACTACTGGAACACATTTTGAAGGCACTTACTGACAAAATTAGTTCCCCACCCTGTTCAACCCCAACTTTCTTTTAATGAATGGTTGACTTCACCATGGCTCTGCTGGGCCTAAGCACTTTTGTAAGTAGGAAGAAAAGAAGTATAAGATGGAAGGACATACCAACCGCCTTCATCTTCTGCTACTTTCCATCAGTCCCACGGCTCCTCAAGGCCTTGGTGTTATGCCACGTGGTGTTGTTATTTGCTACCAGTTACATCTGCCATCTCTATGAAAGGCCACATCATTTGAAAGCAAAGTCACTGCACCTAGCTGTGTTTCCAATTACTCCCCAACAGAGGCTGAGACGTTATTCTTAATAAAACCCAGTATAACTCTTCTCTGATATAGCTAAGGCATGAAGGAACATCCTTGAATACAATTGCAAATTTTTCTACTATCCTCCTTTACATGCCACTTTCCAGCTCAAGAAGATGAGACGGGAGGCTGCAGAAAGGAGCCCAGCTGTCCACAGCAGGGGTAGCATCTTCCCCCTACCAGAAATCTGTTGTCAGCATCATTTGGAAGGAAGTGAATGACACAGCATTTTCATTTTTATTATGGGAAAAAAAATAACCACAAGAAATCAAAACCTCACTCTGCCACAAATTGGTTGTATGACATTTGCTGAGACACTTTCTGCTTCCTGAGTCTCAATTTTTTCATCTGAGGAGCTTGAGACAAGTTTCTAAGGACTCCTTTAAGAGATGATAGTATCGAGTCTTAAAAAACAGGGCATGGACTCTTTGGGCTGTTAAAAATATCTTCCTCTCCCCAGTACCAAACACACACACACACACACACACACACACACACACACACACATGTGTGCATGTATGTATGTATCTTCCTCAGCAGGGCATGGTGGCATATACCTATAATCCCAGCACTCTGGAAGGCTGAAGCAGGAGGAATGCAAATTCAAGTCCATCCTGGACAATTTAGTAACTTAACCAGACTCTGTTTCAGAATTAAAATTTTTAGAAAGGGCTGGGAATGTAGCTTAGTGCAAAGGTTCTGGATTCAATCATGCATATGAAAGGGCTTTTATGAGAGGGGTAAGAATTTAATAAAATTAGATTATGGCATGTTGCACTACTATTTTAGAAACCACTGAATTGTGTACTTTAAACAAATGATTTTAAAATAGTGCAAAAATGCATATAACATAAAATTTACCACCTTAATCTGTTTTGGTGTACAGTTCAGTGACATTAAGCACATTTGCAATGTTGTGGAACTGTCCCCTCTGTCCATCCATACAACTCTTCCATCTTACAAAACTGAAACTTTGTACTCACGAAACAGTGGCTTCCTGCTCCACCTCAACCACCATTCTACTTTCTGTTTTTATACTTTTTTTTAACTATATTAGGTACTTCATATGGGTGGAACTGTGCAATATTTGTCTTCTTGCAAATGGCTTATTTTACTTAGCATAATGTCTTCAACGTTCATCCATGTTGTAGCATGTGTCAAAACTTCCTTCACATATTTAAAGCTGGATAATATTCCATTGAATGGATGTCCATGGATAGACACTTGCATTGCTTTGCCTTTGAGCTACTAAGAAATTGTCAATATTATAATATATAAACTATATCTCAATAAGAATACTTCAAAAATCTCTCCCCCCGATCTGCCATTTAAGCAGTCTAAAATGAGTCTCATTTTAGAATAATGTCTTATATGTCTTCTAAAGGAAAGTCATGAATTTAAACTACACAGAAGCATTACTCTGTATGAAACCAGTAACCTTTTATCAGGTATTGCATTAGTTATCTCATTATGCTATCCACTGTCATTTGCAAAAGATCAGAGGGCAAGAAAATGCCACAGAGGCAGAGAAAGGCGGCAAAAATGCCTGGAGGAATAGGAACCCCATGAATACACCCTGTACCGCCAAGGAGAGGGGGTTAGGCCTTGAAAATGACTTTGACCTTGGCAGCCTCCTCCTGTGTTTTGCCCTGGTCTGTTTGGCATGTGCTCAGAATCCCAGATATAGTCTGCGATTTTTCATCAAAAAGCAGCCAGGACCCTTGTGGCTCAGGGGCAAGGGCCCGATGTGAAGATAACGACAATTCTGGCTCTTTCTTCTTTGGTTCCAGCCAGTGTAAGAGTCACTTCAAAGAGTTATTGTGTAAAATTATACTATATTCTAGCCATGGTGGCTCACACCTGTAATCCCAGTACTCTGGAAGGCAGAGGCAAGAAGATTGCCAAATTTGAGCCCAGACTAGGCAATTTAATGACTTAGTTAGACCTTGCTTCAAACTAAAAAATAAAAAAGGTCTGGTGTTATAGTTTAGTATGACATCAATACCACAAATAAATCAATAAATCATATTATGCCTAGAAGCATGACAACTAACTCAAAACATACAAACAGAGGTACTCTTGGCATTCAAAAACATTTTCCCATCCTATTATAAAAATAAACCTCATCAAGGCAGTTTCCACCTTAAACTTTTCAATGGCTCCCATTGCTATCAGAATAAATGTAAACTGCTCAGCCTAATTCATAAATCCTTTGGTTATTTGGTTCCAGTCCAGTCTCCTGCCCTTTCCTGACCTCATCCTGCCCCAACTGCCAAGCAGCCATCTGGACCTGAACCACTTTCCATCCCTGTGCCCCTCCTCCTTGAGTCTGAGCACAGGTGTTCCCACCCTGTTCACCTGGCCTTCACCTGCCTAACCTCCACATATCTCAAGGCTGAACTGGCTGTGTCTCCTGTGCACTTTTAAAGTGCCCAACACTTATTCCATGGGAGGATTTATCAATATATCATATGATATTTTAATTTTCACCTTAGCTATTTGTATCTCTTAGTAGACTGAACAAAGTGAGGAGGGACCTGCTGAAATAGTCTGGGACTGCACCAAGGACAGGTTGATATTTTCTATGTAGATATAGTGAAGTGTGGAGGGAAGAAAGCAGTGCCATGTTCTTATTCCTTAAACCACTGACCCTGTGACCACAAGACACCTTTATCTACAAATGGTATAAATTGAATGGTCTGAGAATTCATAAACCACCCAAAAAGTTCTATCGCTTTGCCTCCTACTGATACCCCATGATGTCTTTCTTCCAGACATGACCCTGTTGGGAGCCATTCCACATAAGTTTTGGGAGGAAAATTATTTCATAATTAAAGTATGACTATAGCTGTCTAAGGCCCTATGTCACCTCACCCAAGAGCTGGCTATGGCATTCAGAAACATAACA